ACAGCGCCGCGAGAATTCCATCGGCATCGAAAGCAAGTTTTTTGACTTGCCTAGATAGCCGAGCGGTCTAGCGCGCTGTTCCTGCACTGCTAGGAGACAGATTCCGAAGGTCGAGAGTTCAACCCCGGGCTGGGGCGGAAGTGGGTATCCATGTAAAAGTGAATTTCTTTGTGCTTTCTATATTAATATTTCTTCACTTAGGGCAGTTATGTTAGTTTAAAGAGTTGTTGTAAAATGTGCTTTATAAATAATAATTAATTTCATTACAACATGTATTGGTAACAATCCTCTGTTAAAACTAATGTCCAAATAACTGTATCTCACTTCTATTCTCAATGACCGTGTAGTGTAGGACAGCGCCGCGAGAATTCCATCGGCATCGAAAGCAAGTTTTTTGACTTGCCTAGATAGCCGAGCGGTCTAGCGCGCTGTTCCTGCACTGCTAGGAGACAGATTCCGAAGGTCGAGAGTTCAACCCCGGGCTGGGGCGGAAGTGGGTATCCATGTAAAAGTGAATTTCTTTGTGCTTTCTATATTAATATTTCTTCACTTAGGGCAGTTATGTTAGTTTAAAGAGTTGTTGTAAAATGTGCTTTATAAATAATAATTAATTTCATTACAACATGTATTGGTAACAATCCTCTGTTAAAACTAATGTCCAAATAACTGTATCTCACTTCTATTCTCAATGACCGTGTAGTGTAGGACAGCGCCGCGAGAATTCCATCGGCATCGAAAGCAAGTTTTTTGACTTGCCTAGATAGCCGAGCGGTCTAGCGCGCTGTTCCTGCACTGCTAGGAGACAGATTCCGAAGGTCGAGAGTTCAACCCCGGGCTGGGGCGGAAGTGGGTATCCATGTAAAAGTGAATTTCTTTGTGCTTTCTATATTAATATTTCTTCACTTAGGGCAGTTATGTTAGTTTAAAGAGTTGTTGTAAAATGTGCTTTATAAATAATAATTAATTTCATTACAACATGTATTGGTAACAATCCTCTGTTAAAACTAATGTCCAAATAACTGTATCTCACTTCTATTCTCAATGACCGTGTAGTGTAGGACAGCGCCGCGAGAATTCCATCGGCATCGAAAGCAAGTTTTTTGACTTGCCTAGATAGCCGAGCGGTCTAGCGCGCTGTTCCTGCACTGCTAGGAGACAGATTCCGAAGGTCGAGAGTTCAACCCCGGGCTGGGGCGGAAGTGGGTATCCATGTAAAAGTGAATTTCTTTGTGCTTTCTATATATATATATATATATATATATATATATATATATATATATATATATATAAGGTACAGTAAAAATGCTCAAAGTCCAATAAACAAAACAAAATAGGAGCAGAGCAAACACGGATATCGGAATCATAAGAGGTGGGATCAGGTGCCACGGGGGAGTAAGCATCCCCTGCCGACTAGTCACATCCGCCTTGTGCTCCTTGTCATGATCGGAAAATAACGGAAAACCTGTCTTCAATACACTGTGTAAATACTATAGTGATGGACCAATAATTAGTATGAAAAACGTCAGTCAGCATTTGACTAAATGATAAATTGTATTTGCTGATAAGGTCAATGTATCGACCACAGAACTTACGAAATCATTCGTGTTTCATCAACTTATTTGTTAATAATCTACTTCGGTTTAGAAGTTCATATGTAGAACAAGCTCTTGCGTATCGAATCAAATGAGAGAGATAAACTCCATATGTATGTGATGAAGGTATATTGCTGCATAAGTAAGGGAAGTTGAAATGATAAAGGAATCACGTTTATCATACAGCTTGGTTGTTAGATTATCATTAAAGTCTTTTTCAAGTAAAATATCCAAGTATGATTCAGATGTGTTAGACTCTGTGGTATGTTTTATCTCAAGCTCACCAGGATATGTCGTTTTAACGTAGGAATGGAAATTACCATTATTAATTGACAATACGTCATCGATATATCTAAATGTCGAGTTGAAGGCAACAGCAAGTGTTTTGTTTCACGCATAAAATTTTGCACAAATTCTGCTTCATATAAATACAAATATAGGTCTACTTATAATGGGGCATAATTACTACACATGGGAATTCCAATAGATTGTTGGAAGACCTGGTCTCCAAAAACATAGATATTATCAATCAGAAACTCAAGCATCCTTTTGATGTCAACTTCAGAACACTTGTGCGTAGAATCAGAATGATTTTTAAAAAAGAAGGATATAGAGATAATGAACAGTATTCAATCTCCATAAACCATAAAACAATACAAAGTAAGAACAGAGCAATACGAACCTCCGAACCATCAGAGGTGGTATCATGTGCCATGGAGGAGTGAGCATCCCTTGCTGACCGGTCACACCCGCCGTGTGCTCCTTTGTCATGATTAGGAAATAACGGAAAAATCCGTCGTCAATTCAGTGTATAAATAATGGACTAGAAATTCGTATGAAAAACGTCAGTCAGCATTTGACTCAATGATTTATTGTATATGCTGAAAAGGTCATTGTATCAACCATAGAAAAATAATTTTGCAAATGACCAATGACAAGGTAAGTTAATTTACGAGTTCCATTTTTAATGAAAAAGAAGTTGTTAATGATATCAAAAATTGGACTTTAATTTATCGTTGGGAATGGTTGTGTATAAAGTTGAAAAGTCGTGTGTTTTTAAGCTGTTGATTTTGGTAGATCTTGTGATTTAAAATTGTCCAAAGTTCCTTGGAATTTGTAAGTATTCACATCCTTGAATATATTGTAGCGCAGTATTCTTGAAGTTTCTCCTTCACTACTGTTAATATCTTAGTGAAGAGTAAGGCTTGGTTGAACATTTACTGGAACTCGCTATGTATCTTTGTTTGCAAGGATTCTTAGGCCATTAATATTATACTTTTTTTGAAAAGGGTTATTCCGTTTTATAATGAGTACTTAGGGATCGTGACAGGTATGACCGATTAATTGGATATAATCTATTGTCCTAGAAATTGGAACGTCCCTTTGAAGTTTTCAAAATTTTATTTGAGCAATTTAATTGGTGTAGATTGCAATAATTTGAAACAAGGGTGATCTTTGACGTCAACTTTAACGGCAATTTAGTAAATTTTCCAGGCATAAGTGACAAGAGCTTACGTTTTCTAAAATTTGACGGAAAATAATTTCATGTTTTTGTTTGTCTTATTAATTTCATTTGTCTTTCATAAAATAACTTTGATTAACTTGAATGTAAACAACAACATAAAATTTTAAGGGCTCTTCATACATGTCCAAGAACGAATTCGATGTCGATATCGACGATATCGACAATATTATGTCGATATCGTATCGATATCGATCATGATGAGCACTGTTAATTTGAAATACTTGGTACCATATATGAGACTTTGTGCCATGTCGATATCGTCGATATCGTCAATAACATGACGATATCGTATCGATATCGATCCTTTTTGTAGAATTTATTTTCATAATGTGGTATAACATAATTTTACAAGATCACAAGAGATGTCAAATTCATTATTAGCATGAATATGAAATTAAATTATGATAAAGAAAAGGTAAGTGGTTGTTATTGTTTTAGATTAGGTGTAGAGTAAGAAGTTGGGTGAGGGTGAAAGTTGTTAAATATATTTTAACAATCATGATTCGATATCGATACGATATCGTCGATATCGACGACATCGACAGAGGGGTAAACTAATTAATCAGAAAGTAAATAAACACAAGCGTTGCATGAAGAAATAGAACTTATTTTCATGGGATATGTTAAAAAATTAGATTTTGTATTAGGGTGACGGTTGATAAATAATATATTTTAACAACCATGATTCGATATCGATACGATATCGTCGATATCGACGATATCGATTGCAGGTATAATCTTTATTATAGTAAAGTTATTAAACATAAATACACATACAATTTAACAGGTACGGTATTTACAAAGAGGTGAGCAAACATGATTCGATATCGAAGCGACATCGTCGATATCGACGATATCGACACTACAGGGAAAGTTTGATAAAAGATAGTTTTCAAATAACACATGTTAAAAATACAGTACTTGTATTATAGATAGAAACCATAATTCTTTGAACAATCATGATTCGATATCGACACGATATCGTGGATATTGACAGTAAGGAAGACTTCTTAAGACAGAAAGTATTGTAATAAACACACAAGGATAGAGAAATATTGTAGTAAACTATAAAAAAGTAATTTGTCGATATCGTATCTACATCGTGTCTTGGACATAACTCGGGCTCTTAGTGTCAATTTCACGTTGACTTGTTTACGATATCACCATAACTCAAAACAAGTTCTAGGTCTTGGCTGCAGACAAGATATACAAATAATATAACAGTATTAGGCTTGGCAAAGATCATGTTTGTCTATCATTTCACATTGATCTTAACCCCATTTTTGTGTTTGTACAATGGATCTATGTACTCTGTGTATGTATATTTACAATGAGGGTTTTTATCTTTACACTTGTAATTTATTTTGTCTTCAATCTACAAAAAAATAGTATGATTTTTAAGAGATTCCAAGAAATGTTTCCCTGACTTTTATTCAAAGAGAGGAAAGTGCAGAGGTTCGCATATATTTTAGATTTTGTTTTAAAAAGTTTAATACAGTATATATAATATAATAAAAATATAGTTTATTAGATTATAGAAATCTGTATTCACTTGTTTAAAAATTGATCAAACACCCACATATCGGAACACATTAATTATATAAAATATATGAAATATAGATATAAATACTAGTAACATACTCAATCCACTCGTAGATTGCCCCTAGGGATACCTAACTGTTCTCACCCCTGTCCCTATCCAAAGTTTGGATACCGATGTCTTGACAGAGAATGTAACTGCTCCATAGACGAGTGTGATATTTCCTATGGCTGTAGTGAGTGTCTCTTATTACAGATACTTTCTGCAATCTTAAGTAATTTGAAAACATATCAAAAAGTACATAATGTTACTTGATAGGTTTCCGTAAAATTAAATTTTTCAGATTCTCCAGACTCTAATGGGATACCAACGACTGCTTCAAGAAATGCATCTATCGGAATCTCACAAAATATAAAGTCATCAAGACTTCCTGGAATAACAATCATCACATATACTACTGGTTCATTGCTTTTGTTTGTTGTTTTGATGATCGCACTTTTTCAATTACTACAAAAATGTATTCAAAGCAAAAAAAAAATGCTACGCGGTGGCAGTGTCTGGCTGTGAACAAAGAGGTATATACTCAGGAATAAACCATATTACTTAGATTTAAAAAGAAAACAGAAATAACAAATCTAAGAAAATATATTACACAAACAATAAAAGTTTTAAGTTAATTCAATTAAAAAAAATCAGAAATAGAAAAATAGTATTTTCGTGAGGTATGGCGGCAAAGGATGATCACTCCTCCGTGGCACCTAATCCCACCTCTTATGTTTTAGAGGTCCGTGTTTACTCTTTTCCTGTTTTGTATTGTTTTATGGACTTATGATTTTCAGTACTGTACGTTATCTCCATATTTTCATTGTATAAAGTGTTGAAAAGTCAAACGGTTTGATTGGTTGAATTTGGTAAAAATAATTGTGATTTCAGGTTTTCCAAGATTTCTCTTGAGCGTTCAAGTATTCTCATCTAATTCATACTAAATAAATAAATTGTTGCAAAGTTCTTCGGGTATTTGTTCTTCACTGATGTTAGTATTTTACTGAGGAATAAAGAAAAAAATGGTACAGTATTTTTCCGGAACCCGCAATGTATTTCTGATTGTAAGAGTTTAGAAATTCAGTTCATCAAATCAATTTTGACTGTAAAGTATATTGAAGAATATAGTTAAAACTTAAAATCATTTTGAAGAATTTCTTCTGTCAAAAGAGAATTACGGATATAAATATGATTAACATTTGCAAAAATAAATCCACGTTCCTTTAAAATACAATAAAAATAGTGAGCCTTGTAAACAAATACAAAGTTCTTACCTGAATTGTCAAATGATACCAGTACTTATTTATTTTCTAATCTTAACTTTTTCTTTTTTCACTTCGGAGTAATAAACACAGAAGGGTAGACATTTTTTTCATGTTGCCACTTAAGCACTAATGCGAGATTTTAACATGCCTTAATCAATTCTGACAAAGATTTTTCTTTATAAATCTTAAAATCCCGTTCATTGCATTTGCATTGATGAAGGACATGGAGATAACGAACAGTATACAATAAAACAATAATGAATGTATAGGCTCTTTGTGAAGGCTATAGTTCTTTAGTCTGATGACGTGTAATTTAGTTATAAGAAGCTCCAATAAATTCAATTTCAAAGTTTTCGTTTCATAACAGCAGTTCAAGAATAGTTATAGCAAGACAGATTTCTTATTTAAAAAACATATTAAAATTCTCCTATGATCAATACGATAAAATAGGAAATTACATTTGTCTTAGAGTAATATTCACTTATACAGGGAAAACAAGGATGTAGACAAATATCAATTTTACATTTTAAAAAATCATTGTTCGAGGCATAATGAATATAATATTCAATCTAATACTTCAAAAATATAATGTACAAATACCCCTTTCAATAGACATGTTAATATGTTGAAGATTGATTAATTTTTTCAGGTGACCTATTGCTATCTGTTTTCGTCCGTCGCCGGTCGTACGAGTAAACTTTTTAACATTTTTAGCTTCTTCTCTGAAACCACTAAACCAATATCAGCCAAATTTGGTATACAGCATTGATGGGTATAGGGGAAAATTAATTGTGAATTTCATGGCCCCTGCCCCCGTGGGGCCTGAGGATGGGGCCAAATGCATCAAAATTAATGCAATCTTTAAAAATCTTCTCCTTTATTTTGGACATCAAGCAGTCAAACTAGTACTGTTCGCATGATTTTAATCAGCATTGAGTCCTCTACCAAAATTGTGAAAATCATGACCCCTGAGTCAGGGGTTCTGGTGTTAGAGTGGAGCTATATAGACCATAAAGTAAAAGTGCATTATTTCTTTGAAAATCTCCTCACCAGCTCCTGGGTATTAAACAAATTAACTAATTATATTGTTATGATGACCAAGGGCTTCTCTTCAAAAATTGTGAATGTGAATTTCATGGCCCCTAGATCAGGGGTTCTGGTGTTGGGGGGGGGGGGGGGGGCTCTATTGATTATATAGTGAAAATACATTAATTCTTCAAATATTTTTCTCTGCTTCTGGGTATTAAATAAACTATCTTAGTCTATAGTTACTATGCACAAGAGTGCCTCAACCAAATTTGTAAATTGCATGACGCCTGGTTCAGGGATTTTTTGGTGGAAGGTGGGGGGGGGGGGTTATGAGATTAAAGTATTCAGTTACAATGATCAATCTTTGTATTAATCATGATAAAGTAGGTGTTATAAATGTCGATATTAATTTCTCTTATATGTGAAAAGGGGGTGGGGGAGCTAAGATCTAATATTAAACAACATGTTGCAATCTGAAATAGTCAGCATGGGATAAGTGTTATTTATGAATTCATTTGAAAGCTGTATAAAATGTGCACATGATAAGCATTCAATTTAATAATGAGTGTTTATTAGAATGACAAAATCTCCAACGAAGTTTAATGAGAGATAACAGGAAGTAATAACAAGTTGGTTCTATGTTTCTTCCCTATGAGTGTCTAAGTAGTCTCAGAGCATATCATACAAAAGTATGTGAAATATAGATCAATAGAATTTACAACTAAGAAAGTAAGGTATAAAGGTCAATTTTAACTTATTTTCCTTTCATCAAGCTGAGAGCAATTCTTTCAGATCATAACAAAGGGAATTGCAAATAACATTTTACGCCTTCATTTTTGATTTACAAATAAAAGAGTCATCGGTCTGGCTTATTGGTTAGAATATTTACTCTATCAAAGGATGGAGTTGATCTTACATTGCGGGTTCGAATCATACTGCTGGACGTTGACACTGGTCATTCGGGAAAAATCGTAAAAATAAGGGCTTCCTTTGTTCATTTGCTGACCTTCATCTCGGCAATGATGGATTTTCATTATGATTTATGGGGACTTTAACCAAACAAACAAAAATTAATGAAGTAACAACCAATTGTCTATTAACACGTAAGGATCGCCCGTGTGGTGCAGTGGTTCAAGTGTCGACTCTAGAATAGCGGATTAAGCAGTTGATCCTAACGTTACTGGTTCAGATCCCACCGTGGGAATCGGTGAACCCACCGTGGGAATCGGAGACCAGTCATCAGATGATACCGTAGATAGATCAAAGCCCCGTGTCGGAGTAGGTACTGCCTCAAAAAATATGTCTCACTGATAAATGGCCCAGACTGCCGAGCATAGGTCAACAAAATTTGCAGCTCTTCATCCGCAACTGGTGACGACTCCATATATGTGAACTTTTTTTCGGAAGAAGCGTTTAACATAAAATAGACACAGAACAAATATACCCTTACAAAATTACTATAATTAGATATACTTTACTATAGTTAATTATAGTAAATACTTTGTTACTTTGATTTATAATGGAACTTTACTCTGAACCTTTTATAAATATTTAGAGCCTTTATTTCTTAAACTACACACAGATGATGTAATGTTTGGATAATGTATATGTATAAACAAAAAATTCCAGAAAATCTGAGGTGGAATAAGGGGCTCAAGTAGGATATATGGATAAGTAGTCCCGGTAAAAATATTTTCATACGCCAAATTTGAATTAACCACAGGTGCCTGGAGGAATGAGCATCACCTGCCGACCTATCATACTCGCCGCGTGCTCCTTGTCATGTTCGAAAAATAATCCCAAAGAAATTTGTCGACAACTCATTGTGTATATAATGGCCTAACGAGTCAGTCAGATTTTGTCTTTATGATAAATTGTATTTGCTGACAATGTAATTGTATCGACCATAGAACTTACGAAATGATGACTTAAAACGTAACTTCTGATATTCTTGCCTCATCAACTTGTTCGTCAATAATTTACCTCGTTTTAGAAGTTTTTCGTATGTAGAACATTGATTTTAGATTTTCTCGCACGGGGGTTCTTTAGAAGAAGATTTTAATTTTTTTTTCTACATAATTATTTATTGTTAAACTTTAATTCCCTATTGTGACTTTTCACACTTTCCTCGGGAGTCAAGATTTAAACAATTGAAATCTACACTGCCCAAGGATGCTTTCACACAAGTTTAAAGTGCCGAGAGCATAGGGAATAAACAGTGACTAACTGTTTTTATCGACTAAGGTCAGTCGCGGCCGTGATGTGGACATAAGACTTTCCGAACACAGCGCTTTTAGTAAAACATGAAGATGCAAAAACGGCATTGAATTGATATCGATTCTCCTTGCCTTTTCATCAGATCGAGTCCTTAAAGAATAGCAGGGCTGTACATAAGAACAGTAACTAACGATTTGTTCGTAAATTACAGAACCGAGGAAACTGACCCAACAGTTCGCATATTTGATAATTGATGAGATAGTGACAGATATGCTTCGCTATCAAAAGGAAGTTAAAATCTGTTCTTTATTTCCATAGTATGTGACTGTGCTTGATGAATGCCGAATTGGAACTTGGTCTTTTTTGATTTTTGACATTTACATAGATAAAAGTTTTGATTTGTAATGTTTCAACACGTTAGAATAATATGTCCCGAAGAGAACGTATCACGTCATATGGAGAAATTTAGTATCTGTCGAAAAAGTAAACAAAGCATTCTTAGATTTTGAGTAATGTAGCCATCGGTTTTTTTGTACAATTTAATTGGCTTAGAACTTAGTATTGTCCTCAATTTCAACTTATTCAGTATTAAAAAAATATAACGCATATGATTATGAATCGGACTTTTTACTGTTCTGTTCCAGACCTCAGTGGCACATCACCTTTTTCTTTGAATTCCAATATTTCATAGTCTCTTCAAGAACAATTGAACCATTTAATTTAAAGGTGCCATCTGAAGAACTCGCAACTTTCATAGAAAGCTTGGCGATGGCCCTATTTTAAGTATATTTTTATCGACGTTGTTAAGTCGCACCGCAAGGGGTTAAACCTATGACAACGTAAAGAAAAGGTTTTAAATAAGTCAGTATATGGAATACCATTCCAACGAAGAGGGGTAATTTATATAAAAAAAACTGTTTTCAAGGAAGGAAAAATCTGTAATTTTTCTTTAAAGCTCAATCTGTTATATAATTACATTGGTGTGCTTTTAATGAATTTGGATAATGTCATTTAACCAGAGTAAAGGAAATATTAATGGTTAGATTTGTTTCCTGGAAATGAAAATTTATAAATTGTAATTTCACATTCTTTACAAATTTTAATTAAAGCTTGACCACAATGGCCATATTATCAAAAATGGAAATTATTATAATGTTTTTATTTGCATTTTCTTTCTTGACAACAGCAGAAAAATGTTTAAAGTAGGTGAAATTTGTCGTACATGTATTATAATTTTAACTGTATCATTGGAAAAAAATATAACAAAGTATAATGGAATATTGTGTGGAAATATTATTTCTTGTTTTTTGTAGAGAAGACTTTTCAACCACCTGCTGTGCAGATTTTTATTTTGAGAATGGAAAATGTCTTCGTAAGGATAAAAAATGATTTTCATTAATATGTTAATACAAGAAAACACCACATCATCTCTAACTGCATGGTATTGAATACTAATATAACTATATAATTGTGTAAACATTATATAAATGGATTCTGTGGTTTTATCTGTGGTTTTATCACACTATAACAAGGAAGACTAGGTCAATAAAACAATACAAAGTAAGACAGAGCATGATATAAAAATATTTATTATATGATTGAATAATTTCCATCTCTCTGATTTGCTGAATGTTTTGATCAAACTAATGCCGTAAGAAGGAGTTTCTTTTAAATTTTAACACACTATAACAAGGAAGACTATCGCTAAAAGAAGAAAGAAGGATATGGAGATAACGAACAATAAAAAAAACGTGACGTTCCAGGTCAATACTTAAAAATAGATTGGGAAATTCCAAATTGATACAAATTGTCTTGGAAAGCTTAAATTTTAACACACTATAACAAGGAAGACTATCGCTAAAAGAAGAAAGAAAGATATGGAGATAACGAACAATATTCAATATCAAAGTCCATAAAACAATACAAAGTAAGACAGAGCATGATATTAAAATATATATTCTGATTTCCATTTCGTAATTGAAATAAAAATCGATGACATGCATATTCTTCAAAAAACGAAAATTGTGATAATATTGTAGTTTTTTTTCATCACTTCATATTCTAAATATTAATTCATACAAAAGTACTACACAAGCATTTTATCATTAAAAAACATTTTGTTTTCCAATGTAAAAGCCTGCCCTAGAGGATACTTTGGACTCAACTGTAGTTATTCCTGTCCTTATCCGAGCTACGGACATAAGTGCTTGGAAGGCAGTTGTACATGTCTTGAGGAATTGTGTTCCTTCAGCGCTGGATGTCTAAGACGTGGGTATAATGATAAGCTTTATTATTGTTTGACCAAATGTTACATGTAGTTTAAGTTTGATATTTAATCATATGAGCTAATTTTTAATTAGCCAATAATTGTTTTATAAGCTACATATTTTCAAGTTCAATCAAAGGTAGATTACGTAAAGTTTCAAATAAATCGCCGCTCATTCCTAACTAATCTAAGAATATATTTCTGTTCCACTATAGAATCTTGAATAAGATACCTAATGGATAATGAAGTTTAATGAAAATAAAGACATTTCATTTGATATTGTAAAACTTATATCTTTGATATGAATTTATGCTGTTCATTTTAATCAGGTATCTAATGCAGTAGTAGAAAGGTAAAGATTATGTATACAAAATTAATACATTTTACTCCCGCCTTTAATCTTTGGTTGAATTTATTATTTTGCAGGAAATGAAAATAATACACAGTTAATGTCCGTCATATTTAGATCCCTTTCTCCATCAAAAAGTTCCACCGAGGAGGATTTAAAAAACTGGACAACTCCCTGGAGAAGAAAACATGACCAGGGTAAAAAAACACCTAATTGAATCTGAAAACGAAAGAAGTTTACCCTAGGAAGAAACAGTCAAACCAAAGTTAAAGTTAAACTATAGAAACATGTTGACTTACATACAAACTGTTTTGATTTCTGTTGCTGGAACAACAGTCTCTGTCCTTTTACTTGTGACAATTGTTTTCCAAGTGAGGTCAAAATGTCTTCGTAAAACTACGAATCCTTTTCATTTCTCTGTTACCTCTGTAGCTTAAAAGAAAAACTGATTTTGAGAAGTGATAATGATGATACCGTATAAGTAGATTTTTTAGCGAGGATTTAATTTTGGTATTATTAGCGATGGTGCTGAGATCGCTAAAATTAAAGATCGTTAAAAAACCGTATTTAATTTGCAAAAGCTATATTAGTGAGCATTTTCAAATCGCTAAAATTACTTCTCGCTAAAAATTAGATATCATATTTAAAAGACAAATCGCTAAATTTGCGTCTCGCTAAAATTTCCACTTATACGGTAATTAAGGTAGCTCACCCAGATGCTATATCAAATGGTTAAGTTGTGAATAATAAAAACTCGGAAGGTTTTTTTTCATTTATTGTAAAAATCAGTGACCTTTTCACAAAATGTCTTACTACTAAAAATGATGCAATTCTCCGAAAAGTATCTAAACTATGGTAGGTGAGGAAAAATTCACATTTTAGTACATAAAAATATAAAGGGAATGTTTAAGAAAAAAAAAAATCGAACCATTTCAAATTAAGAAATTACAGGGTTGTAAATTTATTACGTTAGTCATAAGAATCTTTATGAAAAGGTCAACAGATTTCTAACAAAGATTCAATTGTTTAACGTGTAATGATAATAACAACATGTTTAACATTGCTATCGTTAAGGTACATTTACGTGAATACCATTTCAGCTATTATACGTCCACAAGTGAAATGCACTTTTTAACCGAAATATAAAATGTGTTTTATGAAAACTATCATTTCACTAACATCATGAGTTGGTCCTATAACTAAAGAAAGAATGGAAATATTGTATAGTTTAACCATCCTTTTACCTGATATCTTGTTACAAATATGATACACAAATAACACTCTTTTGCGCCTTCTTTTCTTCCCTATTTCGATTAAAAAAGTATTTGGTGGTAATTTTTTTTTAGATTAAAGTGATGCTTGTTAACTACTATATACCAATATGATACATATTGGGAGCTGTAGTTGTTTTCCTAAAACGTTACTTCAGAAATGCATTTCCCCTTTTGCTCATCATACAGTAACATAAGGCACTGCTCTCTCTTTCACTTGCAACTGTTGTAAATTATGTTGAAAATATAGTGATAAATGCATAGATGTTGAATATCGGATACACAGTATACTTGTTGAGGATAATCATGTCTGTTTGGATATTGTTTGGTTTTACACATTTTAGATTTTTAATTTGGTTTCTATTTATAGAAAATTTAATTACACTTCAAAATACTTGCATCACATTGAGAATGAAAGTGAAATGTAGTGCATCTTAATAGTTATCTTAAAAGTTGTTGATTTGATAAGCTTTTGAAATCAAGGCAAATAAAATAAACTCTACTTAAAAACTTGCTTTGTGTATTAGTATAGTCGAGTACAATCACTTGTGTATATCGACTTGATCTAGATCGATGTGCACAAGAATTTCAAAAACGAATGAATTTCTTTTATATGAAATCTTTTTTGAGTAATTAATCTAATTTAAGTAAAACACGTCAATATTCTTTAAATCATGTTTATGCAAAACATAAGAATAGCAAACAGTAATAACTCTAATTAGAAAGTTAAAAAACCAGCATGGTAAGGAAGGAGGGAAGAGTATGTTTTGTGATGAATAATTTGTGTGATGTAATAAAAATATTATTAATTTATAGTTGTTCTTTCTCAGCCATTGTTTTATATTTACAGATTAAGCTATAATTTTCCGAATAAAGTAATTGATATATATAGTGTGTAATGATTAAATCTTAAGTGAAGGGTATAGCAAAACAGCTATAGAGTGGGGTTCGGGCAATGATTTGTTGGACCTGAAGGTGAAAATGTTGCGCTTGGCCTACGGCTTCGGGCAATATTTTCACCTTCAGGTCCAACAACCTACGGCCTCGGGCAACATTTTCATAAATCATGTGTTGTCCTCATACCCAGTCAATAACTGTATAATGTTTCCATGGGCTTATCACTGGATCGTGGTCGCGCATCATCTTTCCGCCATGGATTAAATTTCAAATTTTAAAAAATTCAGGATTTTCTTAAAAATTGATAATCTGGGTTCAACAATTTTTGCTTAAGGAGAGTGTTTTTTTATTAAATTGGTTTAAGTGTAATGTAAAAAGCTTTACGGAAGTACTTATTGTTAAACATATACTAAGTATTTGAATCCTGAAATGATAACTTTAATTTATAAATTCACACTCGCAACAAATTCAAATCAAAGTTAACAACAATGGTGACAATAGCGAAGAGAATCTTTATAATATCTTTATCAGTATTTCATATGATGGTATCAGGAGAAATATGCTTTAAGTAGGTAAATTTTATTGTTGAAATATTGTTTTATATTTTTATGAGTGTTAATGATAATAATATAAATAAATATGCTTTCTTTCTTTAATTTTGTAGAACAGGATTTTCAACTAACTGCTGTGCAGATATTTATTCCAATAATGGAGAATGCCTTCGTAAGGATAAAAACAATTTTTAATGATATATTCAATAATAAATTCAAAAAGAAAGATTTGCGTCTTCTTATTAGCAATTATCTGAGTTTCACAAAGGTATCAGAAATCATTCCAGTGTCATGGCACTTTTTGTAAGATTCAATTTGATTTTGTCTAAGTTGGAAGTCTTGATAAAAATAAAACCGAATTGCAATCTCTTAAAATTGATTTTTTTCCCCGAAAGTCACATTTTCATTCGAATGCACAGATTTTATCAATGTTTAACAATATGAAGGTCTGCCATAACTGTAGTACTAAACTGAAATGTATTAATTGCGTTTATATTTGAGAACTGTTCATAATATACTAAAAACTGGAATAAAATAGCACAAATATTTCATGATATCCAATGTGTACGCGAAAGAAACATACATATTCTTAAAGAAACCCAAAATCATGCTAGCAATTCATAATCTTTTACTTCATATTTTTAATATTTGAAAATACATTACTACCACACAAGCATGTTGTCATAATTCATGCACAAAACTTTATTTTTCAATATAAAAGCCTGTCCTAGAGGATACTTCGGACTCCACTGTAGTTATTCATGTCCTTATCCAAGCTACGGACATCGGTGCTTAGATGGCAATTGCAGGTGTCCCAAGGAATGGTGCTCCGTCAGCGATGGATGTCTGAGGAGTTAGTAGTAGAAGTTTTTAATTATTTTTGATTAAATATTAGTTTTAATACATATATGTTTGGCATATGATTAAAATGAGCTTATTGATTATATAAGAAACATACCTTCAATTGCAATTAGAAGTAAAATATTTTTGAATTCATGTATCTAATCCCATTCTATATTTACACAGGGGTGTATTTCTGTTTGGCTTTGTACAGAATCTAGAATAAGTTTCTGAAATTGGTTCAAATTAAATGATAATTTTCAAATGCATTCTTTTTATTTCTTTAAAGTTATTTAAATAAATGTAATTTACTGTTTGTAATTTACTTTTACTTATCACAACAGGTATAAAGGAAAAAGACAAATAAAATCTTATGACATATATCTCCTCTTTATTTGAAAGGATTCTACTATTTTTGTAGAAAACGACATTAACAAATGGATAATGTCCGCCATAATTACAACTCTTTCGTCCTCAAAAACATCCACTGATGATGAGTTAAAAATCTGGACAACTACCTTGAGAAAAAATCATGACCTAAGGGATAGAACTCAAACTGATATTAAAAATAAAGGTAATGTACTTGATAAAAAACAGTTCAATCATATTTTAAGAATAAAAACAAGTTAAGCAACGCACAAATCGTTTCTGTTGATGGAACAACATTTTTTTTTAGATTCCTATTTTCAACTGTTACGGTATATCCGTGGTGTAAAGTTAAACGTAGTCCTGGGGTTGAGATTATGAGCGTACAAGATTACGTTTAAGATTGTTTTATTTACAAACTTTCTAATCTAAATAATGATTAATTTCTATAAATAAGCTTTGTGATAATTAATTAAGTGCATGAATCGTAGCTTGTTTTAACTTAAAATTGAATTATTTTTACATCAAAGTTTTCTACACCTTGTATTTCCTAAATATACATCGACCATTGTTTCCAAACTTTTCAATTACAAAAAAGACTTTACATGGCCAGGATACCGAGTATCTGAAAGATAATCCTCCATCGTGTTCATGTTCTTCTTCGCCCTATAACTATAGTCCTCTTGGACACGTTATTACTGATGACATAAATACAGGTAATAATGAAGACCTTAGATTACTTATTTTAAAAGGTCCTTATTTAAGGGAACCCTTATCCTTCAACTGGCGTCGGAATTTCATGAATATTATGGATTCTGTTGAAAATTACCCCCAGACGATGGGCCAGATATGAAAAAGAAGACGTTGACACCTTGTCAGAATGGATTAAATGCATCACATCCATGTTAAAGTCGCGTATTAAAAGATTGAGGGGCAATATGAAAACCATATATCCTTCTGTGTTCAATAATCCAGAAGTGAAAAAAGAATTAAAATAGATAACATGATCAGTACGTACTCGTCCCTGCCGACAAAGCACGTAACAATATTGTCTTCGTTTGTAAGGCTCATTATATATATTGTATTTTAGAAGAACTTGGATTTAATTCTACAAGTGGTAATCCTACTTATACTCATACTTTCCTTTTTAAGGAAGAAATTCTTCAAAAATCATATGTCAGTTTTAAATATTTTTATTATTACACAGAGCCAAAATGAATTTGAACTACCATATGTATATTGGAATCTAAAATTCACATGGTAGGATTGATGGAGAAGTTCTGCCAAAATGAAATTATAATTTTGAATAATTAAACTATTGTCACCCCGGTAGTTGTTACCGGATTCTTTTCATTAGCATCTTCAAAGTTTGGCTTCTCGATATGTCAATCATCTATCGACTCGAGGTAAACACTGCAATCAAGTATGGCGATTGAGCATGCAGAATATACATGGTAATGATTACCGTTTATCCAAGTAACTTTATTTTGATGCATGCATTGTTTTGACATGAATAAAATGCGTAAATACTCCATTTATTTTATTTAGAATAAAAATAAAATAAAATTTTAACTATATGTTACGTCCCTATCATTGCAAGACCGTGGTAAAGTTGACGAATGTTTACTTATAGTTATACGGGAGTGCTATTGTGTTTCCGTGCTTGACTTACCAAAAATTCAAATACGGGTTTGGATAAAAAAAGAGAAAATATCACATTTGTATATTAGTATTTTATGACAAGTGCAAGCGCTAAAATTTATCTGCGCAAATGCATTCCCATTTGCGTTTGCGCTAAAATACGTATGCGCCAAATTTTCTCGTTTTACAGTATGCTGGTGAGCCTGAGAAAAAAGGTTCCGCAGAGTCTGACACATCTGTTTCATAACTGGATATTTAACTTGAAAAAGATGCTGATGGTAATCTAACAACCAAGCTATATGATAAATGTGATAACTTTAACTTTTCTATCGTCAACTTCCCTTACTTATGCAGCAAAATACCTTCATCACCTGCATACGGAGTTATATATCTCAGTTGATTCGATATGCAAGAGCATGCTCTACATATGAACAATTTCTAAAACGGGGTAAATTATTGACAGGCAAGTTGATGAAACAAGAATATCAGCAGTCTTGTTTAAAGTGTGTCTATCATTTCGTAAGTTCTATTGTAATTTGTCTGTTGAGATTTTAATGACCTTGTCAGCAAATACAATTTATCATTTGTGTTTACAAAAAGGTTTGTCTGACGTTTTTTTTTTTGAGTTAGTTAGTCCATTATTTATACACTGAATTGACTTTACCTAATCTAAAGTGTGCAAAAAAATTATTTAAGATTACGCAACAAATCTATCCCGTTTTTACTTGTGGTATAGAGATACATAATGCCAACGCGTTTATTTATGTAAGTCTACAGGACAGAGTTCATTACAAAGCAGTAAAACTGAAAAGTAGTCAAGAGGTAATGGATCAAGGGTTCGTAGCAAAATTGTTTATAACAATAATAAACATCATATACCTGTAACTGAATAAAGTTCAAATGATATAGTCTTTCAGAACTAGAAATTATTGTATATATTGTCCTAAAAAATTTTTCATTCTTGTCTTATAAGTTATAACATAAATAAAAAAAATCGTGTATTAATACATATTCATTTATTTCGTATGTAGGTGTTCCTTTTGTGAAGCAACAATTACCACCTCAAATGTTGTGCTGAGAAAACTTTTGGACTAGATATGAACACAAAAATCCCAAGGAACTTTTGGAAAATTTGAAATCACAAGATTTTACCAAGATTAACAGCTTAAAAACATAAGACTTTTGAACCTTAAGACTTTTCAACTATATATACAACCATTTCCCTTGACAAATTAAAGTTCAGGCTTTTTGACATTATTGACGGTTCTTTTTTCAATAAAAATGGACCTTGCTGATTTACTTACCTTGTCATTGGTCAATTGCAAAAATATTTTGTTAAAAACATTCTGATTTGACATACAGGTACTCTGAAGTTGACATGAAAAAGAGGCTTAATTTCTGATTGACAATATATATATGTGGCTTTTTGAGACGATGTTTTCTAACAATCTATTGGAATTCTCTTGGGTATCAATTGCACCTCATTATTAGCGTAATGTTTTGTATTCATATGAAACAGACTGTATGCAGTAGAGTCTGACAAATCTGTTTCGTTTTTCGATATTATGAAAAAGACGCTGATGGTAATCTAACAAATAAGCCCTGTGATAAACATGAGGACTTCAACTTTCCTTCATTATGCAGTAACATACCTTTATCATTTGCATACCGAGTTCATATATCTTAGTGAACAATTTCTAAAGGGAGGTAAATTTCTGATAAACAAGTTGATGAAACAAGAATGTCAGCAGTCTCGATTAAAGTCATTATTTCGTGAGTTCTATGGTCGATACAACGACCTTGTCAGCAAATTCAATTTATTGAGTCAAATGCTGACTGACGTTTTTCATACCAATTACTTATACACTGTCCATTACTTATACACTGAATTGAGGACGGATTTTTCAGTTATTTCCCGATCCTGTCAAGACGCACCCGGGGAGTGTGACTGGTTGACAGGGGATGCTCACTCCTCCACGGCACCTGATCCCACCTTTGATGTTTTGGAAGTCCGTGTTTACTCTGCTCTTATTTTGTATATTGTTTAATGGACGTTGAGATTGAATTCTGTTCGTTATCTCCATATCCTTCCCTTCTTAAATGAAGCAGACTCTGTCTTCATTCTTATAAAATGCAGCAGAATCTTACAAATCTGTTTCGTTTTTTCGATACTTTGAAAAAGACGCTAATGGTAATCTACATGTAACAACCAAGCCCTACGATAAACATTAAGCTACATGTAACATTTGGCTTAGATAAACGATAAAAAATTTCTTGGGACCGATTAACCAGCAACGCTTACTATTTCATGGCACTTAATACCAGAATTTTATTTTTAGAGGTCATTATTTACTCTGCTAACACCTTGTATTGTTTGAATTGATTTTCAAGCTTAATTACTTTTCAATATATCCATTTCTTACTCGATATATATGCAGATACCAAAACTTGAAGTCTCGAAACTCGACTCAAGAGGGAAAAATTTAATTGTAAAAGATTAACTAGGCGACCAATAAAGGTTTTCGATTCTTACTCAAATACCCATAAAAAGGATAAAACATAGACATTTTTTGTCTTCAGGTGAGAAGTTATTGGACATAACTAATGAAAAAGATTTCACAAAAATACCTTGAGCAGTTAAATATGAGACTTTCTCTATTTGCTCTCAATTATAGTTTTTAATTGATTGTACTCGAATTGAACTCTCCATCACTTACATAGTCATTAATTTAAGGTGCATTTCTTTTTAAATTTTGTCAGAAATGTTTTTTTTAAATTTTGACAAAATACTTTGCAGACGTCCAGAAACACTGTATTTACCAAAAGGTATTTAAGGCATCATAAATTCCTGAAATAAACAATGACTGGTTACTCTCTCACTGGATGTTGTTTTATGAGTTTGTTCTCAACCACGGAAAGTGGAACTCAGCTGTTGATTGTAAACAAGGAATGTTAAAAAAATATCCAGAGATAGACTATCGCAAAGACTGGACAGGAATTTCCCATTCAAACACTTCTTCGAAGATCTTTGGATATGTTCAGTATCAGTGACAAGGATTCACTAACTATATTCTTACCCGGAAACTTCACAGAGGCAGATGGAACTTTGATTTGATTTCAAAAATAGTTCCTTAATTAGTTTAATTTTTGATGCACGATTTAAATTAAAACAAATGATCATAATAATCCACTTGATACATATGTCTTTATAAGAACTAATAATTTAACCATATATCTCGTTTTAATTCTTTAATATACATATTTTTCCTCTTATCACTGAAAATTATGGAAAAATTTATAAGCTTTTGAAAAAAATAATGTAAATAAAAAATTATGATAGACACGTTCAACACTTGATAAATAAAGATAGCTTGGAGAAAAATGTTTATACTTACCAAGTATTATAAAAAGGTTTGGGAACTTAACAACATTATATGACGATTATTACAGTATAAATAGCAATTCTTACATTTCTAATTGTTATGTCTCACACCGTCATAACTCATTGAAAGTAAGTAAGTTGATTTCTGCTGCTTGTTTTCATATCAAGAAATAGAATATAAAATTGCATGATAAGTATCTAAAGGTGATTCAATGAAAGTTTTTAAAAATCAAATGTCAATATATTACAACATTGTGAAAAGTCTTTTAGAGGGGAAATTAATAAATCAGTAATAAAAAGTTCCATATGAAATATGGAAGGAATTTATATGCAGAAATCTAGAAAAAAAAAAGGGGCGTAAACCTTTGACCTAAAAAGTAAATAAGCATTGAGGGATATTATTTTATTCGTGAAAAATAAGCATTATTACTATTCATTATTTGTTTCCTGAACAATGAAACTAAACAGTATATAACATCACAATTGTTTCTTCTTTTCTCAGTTTTACAAGTAAACACTTTACTAAAACAATGCATCAATCTAACACATTGCAGCTCTTTATAGGGATTTTTGAGATATTTTGTTTTATAACTGCAGAAAAGGCTTGTTTAAGGTAGGTAACCTCAGTGAAATTCTAAACTTAATAAAAACAAATAACCTTTCAATTTATATCTTCACAAGAAAGGTATCAAACAACAAACAATGAATTATTATTACAGAACAGGCCAAACAGAAATTTGCTGTGCCGATTTTTATTTGAAGGATGGAAGATGCACTCGTAAGAAAGAGCATATGTATCTGTTTTATTATTATTATTATTATTATTATTATTATTATGTAGGAATTTCATATATATTAGACATATTGAGAATTGAATGATAAAATAATTTTTCAGGCACATTAAACATAATATTTAAGATAAAATTCCTTAACGTTTTGCAGACTTTATATTATTGATATCTAATAAATATTAAGAGTTACAATTTTCTAAATGTTAAATGTAAAAAATAGGCTCAAAGTAAAATTTCAAAAAAAAAATCGTAAAAAAAATATAATGCAAAGAAAGCAAAGAAGAAAGGAATGAAAAAACAAAACAAAACAAAATCAAGTAAAGAAAAAGTGACTAACAAGAGAAATAATGAAACCAAATTATCAAATATAACTGTTATATTCAAATACGAAAGGTACTGAATAAATTAAAAACTTTTATCATGTCAATTAACCCCACTTATTACATTCAAAATTCAATTAATCAGAATTTTAAAACGTACATAATATATTTTGGTTTCAAACTATTTTGAGTTTTTATGAATATCCAATCCTGATTCTGTAATATCAAATAACTTAAATGGTTGCTTCAGTCATACATAACAAAAGAAAATTTCAAAGAAAAATTGAAAAAGTTCTAAATTTTCAAATGATGTGAAAAAAATAATAAAATATAGAAACCATCAAAAATCATTTTTTTTTGTTTGAATTCGTTTAAGCCTGTCCTCAGGGATACTTTGGACCTAAATGTGAGCCCGCATGTCCTTATCCAACATATGGGTATAGGTGTCTTGAAGGTACGTGTAGTTGTCCCCAGAAACAGTGCAACAACACTCGTGGATGTTTGTCAGGTTTTATGATTTCTTTGAGAAAGGAGATATTTTTATTTAACCAAAGCTAAGCATAACATTCAGGTTTTGTTACATGGCTGATTGTTAATTATTACCAAAAAGGCGCTAGATGTCACCAATTTTTCTTTTAAGAAATAAATAACAAGTTTATAAACTTCAATGGGAATTGAAGTGGGTCGGTCACGTGATCAAATCCTGTGAAGGCCTTCCTAGAAGACTTGATCACGTACCAACCCACTTCCATTTCCATTGAAGTTTATAAACTTGTTATTTATTTCTTCAATATATACATTTGAGACAGACCATTGAAAATTTCGAATATAATTATTGCACCAACCATCCGTCGTAGATTTTGAAAAATGACGCAAGGTGTAAATCGGCTTGAATGGCGGTTACGCTTCGAATTCATTAGGCTAAGGATTTTATTTCTAAGGGACTATTTTGTGAAAGGCTACTTGTGATCAGTAATAGAGAACAGATTGGTGTCTGGGAATATTTCGATTCGAGAAAATTGATAATAAATGCTGAAAAGACACAAGAAACACGTACGAAGATCGATGATAAAACGTTGAAGGAATTTCGGTCGCCAGAAAGGGATGGATGATCCGATGATTGAAACACTTGACCGTGCCAGTTTACTTGCAATCCAGTATTTAGGATAAAAATGTTTTAACCAACGATTTCAATAACTAAATGCATATTTATGATGTAAACAAATCACGGGGACACTAGCGAAAACTTACATTGAACTACGACAGCGCCGAAGTGTTTGTCATGTTTTGAATTCTTTGATATTTTCCAACAGATTTACACATTTATTATGAGTAGAATTTGATGAAAAAAATATAGTTTATTGTGAAGATTTAATTAAAAGTCTATCCCAAAAATAAGGATAAACGTTAGAGACTGTAAAGCTGAAAAAAGTGACATAAAACTTGTAAACAAAAGCAAGTATCTATCGGTATATTCTCCATATACACATATTAAATCGATTGGCAAAAAAACTGTATGAAATACTTGTTGACGCTGTAAATAAAATAATTATTATTCTACCTGCATATTTTGTTCATTTTATACATGAAAAACAAGTAGAGCAAGTCATCTTATATTTATGCACCGGTAGATATTATTGCGTCGTGTGATTAGGTCACGTATTGACCTCTGACCATGGACAAACTTCATGCAGAATTGAAGATATTTGTTCTCCGTATGTTTATATAATAGACAGATACCACAAATTTATATATTGAGAAATACATGACTGCATAAACAGCTAATTTTTTCTAATTTAATTCCCTGAATTAGCAAATGAAGTTAACATGTATGTGAAGAAGAAGCTCTTCTATGGATGACAAAAGAAATAAGATGAAGACAGAGTCCT